CTTTCTTACTTCCGCCTACCTGACCCATATCTTCAAGTAATTTTACATTAACTTTCCATCTACTTTGTGGTCTCTCAGGGACCAGCTTCTGGAGTAAGAAGCAAATTCTGTTGTTCCATATGCCAGGTCTGGGCACACCCCCTGCTCGAGCCTATGGAAGGCACAGCAGCCATGTCGAGTCTGCCTTCTTAGGGAGGTTAAGTGCAGACCACATGGCTCATCAATGTCCCCCACAGAGCCACACTCTCTGGAATTAAAGTGACTAGATCATCCTGTGTATAGTCAGTATACTCTGTCTTGACACATGCATGAGAGAAAAAAGCAGCTGCTTTGTCTGGGGTAGCTCAGATCAATTTTGTCGTGAACAACCACCGCTACGGTAGACTTCTCATTGCTCAACACAACTCCATGGCCTGCCTGTGAGTCTCATCTGTCAGGTGTTTGTTGGGGCATCTGGTCCCTTTTCTCTAATTTTACTTCCATGGTGCCCTAAAAATCTGGACTCGGTTATTGGATATTTTTGCTATGAAATCTCTCCTCTGTGGCCATTTATGCATTCTCCCTCCCACTCAAAAACTGAATTCCAGTGGCTTGCATCCAAAGGATATGTCCTGTAGTTTCTAAAATAAACCTCTCTTATACCTGCATTTCCCTGGCACATTCATTACTTTCCTTTATCCTTCAAATTATTTTATCATAAAATCAGATGCATTGCAAAATTTTTGGCAAGGCTTTCTAAATGTGAAGAAAGACGAATGACATTTATTTTGTTCTCCTAGCAAGGCAGGGCCTTCCACTTTGTAATCATGATGGGTTTCATTAATGTTCTCCCCAGTCCACTATTCTTTCATTAGTAAATGAAGCTTGACCTGGAGCTGGCCTCAGTGGCAGCCCATTAGCTACGGCCTCACAGTGAACAACATCACTTTGTATTGATGGCCTTTGTTTACAGGCACGCAACCAGACTGGAGCTGCAAGACTGTCCTGATCCTGGCCAATTTAATTTCACAAAAAGAGTTCCATAAAACTCTTGTCTGAACTCTTTTTCCTGGCAACAGCCTAAATATTTTCAAATAGCCCGCTACCAAACCAACGGGCATCCCTCCCCCAAAGCTCTTCTGCAAAAGCATGGAGGAAAAACTACAATAGAAAACAGACCGTTAGTTCGGCATAATTAAAAATCTCATCTGACCCTTTGTGGGCAACTCTCTGTCCACCTTCCTGAATTTCTTTCAACGGGCATCCACTGAAAACAGATGCTTCATAAAAAGAATGACATATTCCCTAAGAGAAGATTGTTAACATCTCTTTTTTATAATTAAAACAACGGCTTGGCATGCTTTCTACCATATTTATAGAACTCAGAGCAATGCATGATCTCTTAGGACTACTAGGCCATTTTCTTTCTAACTGAAGAGGTTTGTCTTATCCTGAGATCTAGAAAATAGACTGGTAGGGAAGAATTAGTGAGCTTAACACAAGAGAAGATATGAAACAATGAGACTATGGCTCTGTGAAAATATCCATGCCCTGGTGGGTCATGTCCTGATGGAAAGAAATAAGTGGATGCATGGGCAACTTTTCAGCAGAACATTTCCTAGAAAAAATAAATTAAGTGCATTTAAGTGATATTCCAGTGGACAATTTTTGTATATGAGAACAGAATTAAGGCAAGGGAAAATCATTCTTATATTCACATAACTGACTTAAGTCTAATCTGCATAGTTACACCAGATCTGCTACCCTGAACTTTACGTTGGAAGCCCGTGTGCAGAGAAGCACGGTCTTCCCTGACCCTGGATTGGGTACCAGTAGTACCCATGGTGCCACTGAACGGTCAAGGTCACTCCTAACATATGTGATGCTCTAGACCTTGCCTTTGGAAGGCCCCAGCTTTTATCACTCGGTTCATGTGACATCTGTCAATCTGATCATGTGTGAATACTGAGGTTTACCCTTGCATGCTTTTTTTAAAGGGCTGGTGAGGGATGGGCCTCTCTTATAGTGATCATCATCAAAGATTTTTGAAGGTGATTTCCTTTCAGCGTGCCTGGGTGGCTCAGTCAGTTAAGCATCTGAGCAGGTTCAGCTCAGGTCATGAACTCCAGGTTGGGTGATCTAGCCCTGAGTCAGGCTCCATGCTCAGCAGGGAGTCTACTTCCCCTCTCCCTCTCCCTTTGCCTCTCTCTGTACTCACGTGCTCTCTCTCTCTCTCTCTCACACACACACAGCGTGCACTCTCTCTCAAATAAATGAATAAATCTTTTGAAAAAAAGTAATTTCCTTTCACAAAGTTTCTACAAGAGCAGACATTTGATCCCTAGAGGAAAAAGGTCAACTTACTACTACTATCCTGTATTCAAATGCATTTGCCATTGATATCTTACACTAAAACTTTCACATTTCTGGATTTTTATAAGTTTATATCCAAAAGGGTCAGATGCAAAACATGTATTTCTACATGCATCTCCACTGGGGACAGACAGCTTTGGGATTCACCACTCCTTTGTTCCATCTTCTGCTTTCTCCCTGAGCTGAAATTACTTATTTCTGTATGAATGACTTTTACACTTTCATTCTTTGGCTCATCTAGTTTTGACGAAACACACATGAAAGGTGTTCTTTGAGTCTTTCACTCACGTTAGAAGTAAATTCCATGGTATCAGACACATGGCTTATGGATCTCCTCAGTCATCCCCCTCTTCCTGTGGGAGGCACCAACCACCTCCTGAACAACATGGCAGCTGCAGGGCGCGGACCAGTCACTTGCTCTAGAAGTCCCTCCCTGTCAGATGGCCTCTGAGCAGCTGGGCTAACCAGCAACAAACCTAGGTTTCTGGTTCTTCCAGGCATTTATGGACTGGGATGAAGCCCCACAATGGAGTGGGATGTGGCATCTCAGAGCCACGAGAGCAACCGAGATATGGAGAAGCATGTCATACCCTATGAAGTGAACTCTCACAGACTGGAAAAAGGAGGCAGAAGGGAGATGGTGAGACAAATTATCTCCCATTCCTATCTTTTACTGTCTATTTGGACATGCAGTTTCTTATTGCAGCTTGTCTGTAGACAACCCACACACTGAGAGACACGTTCCATCTATTCATGGAGGGCTGGAAGTCAATGTCATTGCTATCAACTAAATTGCCCCCCACCCCCCGTCATTCATATCTGGAAGTCCTAACCACCAGTGTGACTGTATTTGGAGACAGGACCTTTAGGGAGATAATTCACATTAAATGAGGTCACTAGGACAGGGCACTTATCCAATAGGACTGCTGTCCTTCGAAGAGGAGGAGACAGCCTGAGCATGAGGAAAGGCCATGTGTGGACACAGGAGTCGGGGGTGGGCATCCTACAAGCCAGGAAAAACGCTCTCACCAAAGAGTGAATTTGTGTGGGCACCTTGATCAGGGACTTCTGGCCTCCAGAACAGTGATAAAATAAATATCTGTTGTTTAAGCCACTTGACAGTGTAAGTTGACTAATACAATATACAAAAATTATTCACTTAGGTATCACTTAAATGCACTTATTTTTTTTTTTTCTACGAAATGTTCTGCTAAAAACTTGCCCATGGATCCACATATTTTTTTTTTTTCCTATCAGGACATGGCCCACTGAGACATGGACATTTTCACAGAGAAGTTGCCAGGGTATAAATCCCTAATATGAGCATAACTAGATGGTTTAGGAATCTTCTTCTGGATTGCCTCTTAATACCCTGTATCTTTTCCCCAGACCTTGCCCTTGTCATGCCTTCACTCTGAGAGCTATTTTTCCATGACCACCAACCCAATACAGTGCCTCTGGAACTCCTGAGATCAAGGCCCGTCATCGTCTCTATCCCACGGCCATAGACGACGCTCTTACCCTTCACCTAACATACTGCTGTTGTGTGCTGGAGACCAAACAGTGGTCAGCACCGACTTCTACTCTTAGGGAAAAAAGGGCCCAGATATACGGTCTGGCAAGAAAAGGCTAGGAATGTTGTCTTCCTAAAGAGAAAACACCTCACAAGCACAGGCTCACGTGATGCTATTTCCATATGCTATCTTCTGTTTCCGCACTCTCTGGGCCCATCGCTTTCCCTTGACTTAACAAACAACCACTCAGAACCTCTCACAGAAGCTTGGCAGGCAGTAGGCACAGCTGAAATATCACGGGTCGAAAATTCAAACCTGAGTCTGTCACTGTTTTGCGATCTTCGTTCCCTTGTTTCAAAGTGAGAATAGCAAATGCTACCTCATTGTTTTGTCCTAACAATTAAATGAGAAAATGGAGAAAGTGCCTGGCACACAGGAAGTACTCGACACTATGTATTACTTCCTCTTCCGCGTTTCCTTCTCCCCAGGCAAAACTCAACAGCCTCACCATGCACGTATTTACACCCCCTGGGGCTCATCCCAGTTTTTCCACAGATAAAAAATATTTCCTTAGTACCTTTGTCGCACTTCTTATGTTGTAGCCTGTTTGACCGTAACAACACTACATATGAGGTATCATTCTTCTCATTTGCAGATGGGAAAATTTAAGCTCAGAAAGAATACGAGATTCCCAAAGAGTCCACTCCAGAGCTCTCCCCATGAGACCACACCCTACGTCTCGTCCACATCAAGCCTTGCTGGGTCAGCAGGTTCCACCGGGATTGTCAGACTTAAGGGACGTTGATCACAACTTGGGAAAGTACAGCCTCAGTCCTCACAATGTGTTCTACGGACATAAATGGGCACAGGTGCCACCGTAAGTGGATCATGTGCTGACAGTCATCATTCATTCGTCCAAGAAGCATTTATTAAGCTCCTACTAAATGCATATCAATTAGCTGTAAAGGAATCAAAGAACCAAATGCATGCCCCCTACCATCTAAGAGTTCACAACTTAGGTGTTGTGTAGACACACAAAGGCACAAAAAGTTAACACACAGGAATCAGACAAATTCGCAAGCACAGAGACTGGCTCAAAACATATGTAATAAAGTGTTAAATTTTATAACCTACATCCTAAGCTCTCCAGTGGTTTCTCAGTCTTGACGCCATCAACAGTGGGGCCACAGAATTCACTGCCGCGGTGGGATGGCTTGTACACTGTGGGGTATTCAGAAACATCCCTAGAGCTACTATCATCACAGAATGCGACAGACTACGTGGCTTAGAGCAATAGGAATGGATTCTCTCACAGATTTCAGTGCTGGAAGTCTGAAATCAAGATATCAGGAGGCCATGCTACCTGCAAAGTTTCTAGTACAGAATTCTTCCTAGTGTCTTCCAGCTTCTGGTGGTTCCCAGCAATCTGCCCTCACCGGGCTTGTGGCAGCCTTTTCTTCAGTCTGTGCCTCTGACTTCACATGGCTCTCTTTTCTCTGTGTCTGTCTCTACATCCCTAATTCCCTCTTCTTATAAGGATACCAGCTACCAAATCAGGGCCCGCTCTAATCTAGCATGAGCTCATCTTAAGTCAATTACATCTGGAAACCTACGTTATTTCCTGTAAGATCACATTCACAGGTTCCAGATGGACATGGATTTTTGCAAACACAATTAACCCAACACACCTGTTTTCTACCACTATAACACCCACCCCACCATATGTATGCATATATATATATATATATATATATATATATATATATATGTGCACGCACACAGGTGCGCGCGCGCGCACACACACACACACACACACACAAAATTTGGCAATCAAAAATATCTCCAGGCATTGCCAAATGTCCTCAGGTGGAAGAAAGCATCACCAGTTGTTAAGGACCACTGCTCTACAGAGATCAGAAAAGGGAAAAACAAAAGCAAGCTGAGCAGTCGGTCAAGGCTTTGACGCAGCAGATGGGGGTCAAGGGAGCCTGGCTTCTCTGGCTTCTCCCAGTTGCTCCCCCTCTTGACTTCTCTTCCACCTTCATTGCTATTTCCTTCCTCTAAATGTTTTTTTTTTTCTCCTCTTATTTTATCTTCTCTGTCTTTCTTTGTCTCTATTTCCCTCCCCTTCTCCTACCTCCTGCCAGTACCTTTCATTCTCCTTCCTTCCGGGTACTCTGAGGGCTAGCCTCAGTCGGGCAGGTGCCACGGAACATGGCCGATGTTGGCTGGCAGGTGACAGGCAGGCAGGGATGGCTGGGAAACAGGGGGTACACAATGGGCTCGCTTTCCTGTCACCTTGTGAAGAATGGCTCTCACCCAGTCTTTTCTTTCAAGAGTTTGTGAAATTCATTCAATAGAAAAAAAAAATGTGAAAGGAATTATGAAGTCTTGAGGAAAATCACTTTTTTTAAAGTTAAGTCGCATGACAATGGCAGCTGATAGAGTGAATTAAATTCTAACTGCACCAGCGATTTGATAGGTATCATTTTGCTAAGCATTACCGAGAAAATGCCTTCTAGGGGATGTGAAGTTCAAATTCAGAATGAACACGTGACATCTGTGACATCTGATTCAATTAGGTGAAATTCATTAATATAAAAAAGGAAAAAGGTCAAATGGAAATTCGAAATTTGTAAAACAGATTCAGAGCACTTTTCTAGAAAACCTACCCACAACATCTTTCGTAAAGCCCACGCTGATTTAATTTAGGGTCTAAAAGGAAGGAAAACATTTCACTGACACATCAGTGGTGTCACAGGTGCTTGAAATAGTTCTTTTTTTTGTGACATTTGGGAAATATTTGTAAACTATGTTTTGTCTCCATGAACCCAGTACGAAGCTTGCCAGTCACTCAACTGTCCCAGGAAAACATTCTCAGTCATTTGGACATGGCTCTGTTGCCATGGACGGCAGGATAAAGCCAGTAATGTCTGCAACTACTGTGGGGCAATCCTAAACTCAAGACTTTGGAACACCAAAGGCAACTGCCAACTAAGACTTTCTAAAAAAAAAAAAGAAAGAAAGAAAGAAAGAAAAAAAAAAATAGTCAAATGGGTGCTGTAAAATATTCTCCATGAAATATTTCCCACCCATTTAGCAGATCACGTCCTCTAAGGCATTCACGTAGGGCTGGCTAAAAGAGTTTCAAAATCTTACTTTGCCTGGATGTAAGGAAGTCTGCCTCATTAGTGATCAATTACCAGCCAGATCTGCCCTAGGAAGTCATTAATATATACCTTGTACTGTCAAGCCCTGTAATTGGGCACCACATGGCCAATAAGCCATCAGATGCTATTATTAATACCTCCCTCAAAGCTCCACCAGGATCCATATTGTATAAACGAGGTACCAAATGGGGTGATTTTTCATTGCCTTCCAACTTGGCCTACAATAAGTAGATCAACACAAACCAGCCGGTGCTTGGACCCAAAGGCAGAGTCTCACTATATGGCCCATCACTGACATTGATTTTCAAAGCTTCCAATAGTGCTGTCGTGTACAAAAGCTTTTTCCTATGGGCTGGTGATCCAGGACTAACTTCAAGAAGCCCATTTTTTCAGAAGTTCCTGCTTCCTCCTCTTCCACATACAAGAATGAATGGAGATGCTGCTAAAGAATGAGATCACAGGGTGCCTGGGTGGCTCAGTCGTTGAGTGTGTGCCTTCGGCTCAGGTCGGGATCCCAGCGTCCTGGGATCAAGCCCCACACTGGCCTCCCTCCTTGGCGGGAAGCCTGCTTCTCCCTCTCCTGCTTCCCCTGTTTGTGCTCCCTTTCTCACTGTCTCTCTCTGTCAAATAAATAAATAAAATCCCAAAAAAATAAAATAAATCTTAAAAAAAAAAAAAAGAATGAGATCCCATACTGTGGCAGGTGAGTGCCCTGTGCAAGGAGGAGGTATTCATGTCCAGCAACAAGGGGAGGAAGCACTGGAGAGAGATATTACAGAAGCCAAAAAGCAGCAAGAAGAGGACCATGGAGTAAAGATACTGAGTAACTTCCCCCCCTCAACATACTGAGATCCCAATTATCCTAATCCAAGAATCTTCTAGGGTTTTCTCTACTCGAGGATTTTATTCACTCATGCATTCATTCATTCAATGATTCATCCATCCATTCATTCTGTCGTCTGACAAATAATTACTGAGCCAACCAATCATCAGGATCCATGCCAGACCCTTGAATGGGAAAGGACTGCTTTGAAAAAACAGCCATGCATCTTTATTCTTTTAGGAATGGTTAGAAATCTCAGAAGCTTCCCTCCCTCTACCTGCCCTTCACCTGCTACTCCCAGGCATCCTTCAAGTGTCAGGTTACAAGATCACTTCCTCAGGAAAGCCTCCCCTGACTGTTCCTTCCTAGTGTAAGCGCCGTGGCATTCTGTACTTCTTGGCACATTCCCTATTACTAAAGAAGCTGCTTTCAAACCCTCTTCGATGTCTGTGTGCATTGCTAAACTACATTTCTGATGTGTTCACCACAGGACTCCCTGTGCCTAGCACATTGCCTGGCACATAGTAGGTATGCAATTAATTGGTGCTGATCGACTGACTGCTGGTGGCACAGACTGCAAGAGGCCACTGCTGATGGGACTGCTTGTGGACAGCAGTCTCTCCAGGGAGCAATCAAAGGCCTTGACTGACAGTTCTAGCTTTACTACCTGTAAGAAATCTTCAGTAAGTGTTCCTGTCCCCCTCCCTTCATTTCTCTCTCCCTCCCACCTCATCTACTCCCTCCCTGTTCCCCTTCCCCCTTCCCTCCTTCTCTTTCTCTCTCTCCCTCTCTCCCTCTTAATCAGTGGGCTCGCTGCAGGCAGAATGAGAGCAGGGACCGGGAAGACAGTGAAGAAATACATCACTCAAGCAAGAAGTAGGGACTGTAAAGAGCTTCGGATGTGATGAGTTGATTCTCTTCTCTGTTCACTGCTGCTTTCCAGAACCTGAGAGGGTACTGAGAAGGAGGAGGTGCTCGATTAAGACTTTGAAGAAATGAATAAACGGGTTGATTAAGTTATTAATTGTAGAAAAGATCTGCTTCTCTGTGCTCACCGATGACATCTCACGACTGAGGGAGGAAAAGGATTCAGGCATGGACTAAGGACTCAGAGCAGGGTTCCTTTCTGTGCTCTCCCATTAATCATTGTCATTTCTGGCCATTTTGGGGTCGGGGATCCCAGGAAGGGCCTACATTTTCAATAATAAGAGCAGTAATAGCTAACAGTCTGGGATTGCTTATAGTGCTGAGCAAAGAGCCTCTCTTACATTATCTGATTTCATCAAGACCACGCACGGAGGTGTTGTTAACACTATTCTTAAAGTGAAGACCCTGGGGTTCAGAAAAATGTAAAAGACATGCTCCGGATCGCACAGCTACCAAGTACAAGATCTGGTTTCCATCCACGTCTGTTGGGCCTCAGAGCTCTCACTCTTGGCCACTGGACTACGCTGCCCCTTCTAGACCCACAGGGTTACAGACGCAGGCCCACCCTCCAACAGACACACAGCCCAGCCGCTGTACCACACCAGGGAGCTCCCTTCCCATGGAGGATGATGGGAAAGGCGCCCTCTGGCTTTACGCGACATGGCGGCAAAGCTCACGCTAGAGGTGATAGGGTCACGTGACACCGAGCTATCAGCTCGATCCTTGGCTCCTTGGCGGAAGTACAATACTCCCCTCCCCAGGGAAGCTTTGGAAAAAGTCTTCCTTCCACTGCCTCATCATGCCACTCCAGCGATTATTCAGCATGGCCACAACAGTGACTCCAAGGCCCCCGGTACAATTCTGCTTTTTTGCCCAAATCACGCTGCCTCACAAGCCAGGCCCCCCGCCCCATTGCTCTGCCCATCAATACACATTTACAACAGATTTCATTCAACTCCACTGGCCCTCTGGTTAATTTACACAGTGCCAAACTGACCTTTCCAAATGTGTCCCACGGCATGGGGAGAGTGAGGAAAATTTACTGCCAAGAACCAAAAATATGCTACCTTGTGAAATATGGGTTTTTTCATGGCTTGATTTGAACTTCGTATCAGAAACTGTGGAGCGGTTCAATGATTATTCACCATTTGAGGAAGGGAAAAGGCAGTTCAGAGGCCTTCAGGGCCCATATTTCACAGCCCTATCAGACGCTCACACAGGTGATTAAAAGCTCCACAAGCAGCAGCAACTGCAGGGCCTCCTGGTCACATTCTAGAGAAAGAGATGTATTTCTCTGAACGAGAAGAAGCTTGAGAACCCACCGGCACTGAAAAAGTTGGCACGAATTTCCCTGGGGAATGCAGAGGGAAAAAAAAAGTTCTCCAACTTTCCCTTCCCCTTCTCATCTTCCATTCATCCATGAAAATCCACCAAGGCCCCTTTAATCCGTGCTTTTCTTAGCTCAGTGAGGGCCTGAATGATGTTTGGATTAATCCACCATGAGGCAGCTATCCTGTGAGGAGATGCAGAAGCGAGAATAATTTCTACGAGGACCAGGACTTCACTTAGAGCACTGGGAGGAAAGAACACAAGCAAGGAAGAGTACAGGATCTTGGAGACAGCTGTGACCAGCCGCAGGCTGGGACATGCAAGGGAAGGAGCCGTTACTGGTAGCTAGAAAGGGCAGTGGTCTGGACAGGGGAGTCCGGCAAGAGTTGCTCCCTTCAGAGGAGGCATGCAGCCAAGAAGGAAGCTGGGAGAATGAATATTTTGCTCTCACTCTCTTCCCTTCTCCATTCTCTTGGACTGTATTCCATTGGCCCAGTCAAACCACAGCCATTCCAGCTAAGGACCCCATTGGTATGAACCCTAAAGCTCACTGCCAATTCATAAAGTCACTCTCCAGGGCTGGAAACGAGATCTGGGATGCTGGAGGGGGTAACTTAAAAATGTCCAGCACACCAAGAAAACTCTTAAAGCCCACCTTTTATGCTTGACCCCCCAATTCCCCTTCCAATTTCATGAAGACCATTTTCCTGTGTACCCCCAGACTGGGGTACAGCAGTGCACTAAGTCTAAGCTACACAGCCCGTTGCCGGTTTGAAGTGAGCGTTCTCCTCTGAATTCACAAAATGTGGCTCATGGGGTAAATTCTAAAAATGTTCTAATTACTTTGAACAGAAGGATATTTTCTTCTCTACCATAATAAAAACTCCTTCAAGGCAGGCAGCATGATTTGTTAGTACCTACATAAATTGAGTACCTCCTTATGCCGGTATCCATACATCTGTTATATGTCATTGGCTCATCATAATGAACATAGAGATGAAGAAATCAAAGCTCAGCTAAACTAAATTTCACAAAGTGACACGGCCAGAGTAGAACAGGTCAGAGATCTAAACTCAACTCTTCCTGACTCTCAAGTTCAAGCTTCTAACCACCATGTCACTCTGTCTCTTAATCACTTTCGAAATCTCTACAATGCTTAGTAAGCAGCCTAACACACGGCAGACCTCCTTCTGTTCCCTGGGTGGATAAATGGACACATTCTAATGGAAAGAAACCATCATTCTCAGTCTTCATTACTATCCCCTAGGCCAGATTCTCTTCATGTCCTTCATTAACTCATTACACAATCAATTATTGGGACTGTACTTTTTTTTTAATCATCCCCAAAGTCAGAAAAGAAACAGAAAGCATAGTCCTGGGTCTAAAAGCAATGTTTCCAAGTCAAGGAGCATAACTGAATTCCTAATCAAACACTAAGTATGGTGCATAAAGGATGACTGGAATTCAGCTATTTCCCAAATGTTCATCCTAGGAAAGCTTAAATCATGCTCAAGAGAAGAGTAGGAACTCGGATGACAGAAAAGTGGCAATAAAGCAAGGATATTAGATAACAAGGAGAGAACAAAACTAGGAAAGGAGAGATCTTATGGTAGCAGCCTTTCTTGGTAGAAGAAAAGCATGGAGAAGGAGGGCCCAGGCCCACTGCCTTTCACAAACCAGGATTTCAATAAGTAACTGTTGATTTTAAAATCTGTATTCATGAAAACATTCATGTAAGCTGAAAAGCATTTTATTCACACTGAAAGGACTAGTTTTTTTGAAAAATTCTATGGTTCAGAAAATTCTAAAATGAAGGCTCTCTTTTAAAGAAAGAAAAGTGAATTACTATCCATTTTCCTTACTCCTTAAAGCAATGACTCAAGTGGCTAATTCACAAGTAAAGGCAAATGACAAAGGAAATTTCTGACCAAAATTGCATTAACGTTCATGGCCCTTTTAAATCTGGGAGACTTGATTAGTCTATGGGCTCATAATTAAAGGGCGACCTAACAGGATTCCCTAGATCTCTGTAGGGCCGGAGGATGATACTCACCAAGAAAGGGCTGAGAATATAAATTTTACAACCTAGCAAGAGTAAAGGTACGAGGAATCTTAAAAAGGCACCAAAAGACTTTGAGGAATATACAGTAGATTTATCTTTGCCCATTCCTCACACGAAGTGCAACTAAAATCTCTGGTCGCAATAGATGAAACAATCAGAAGGCGATGATGACAAAGGGAGACAAGAAAGTATACTATCTAGGGACCGCAGGACCCAAAGAATGACATAGGAGGAAAGTCCCTGGGTTTTGTTTTGCTTTCTGCTTCCCCAATTTGGAGCCCAGCAAGTCAGCAACCCAGAGTCCCAATGGGCATGAACAAAAAGGCCCAACAAAAGCCTTATCTCGTCACGGGATCAGGAAAAGGACAGCCTCGCAGATCAGAAAATTTAAGTAGTAACCACTGTACTCCAGCCAAACACCACAGAAAAACTGAGGCTCCATCCACACCAGTAAATCCCCTGGATAGACTTTAAGGACACACCCCAACCCTCTGCCCCTTCTTCCTGCAGTGGCGTGGGAGAGAAGGCCAGAAGCCATAGATGAGAGAACACGTGGTGCTGGGGAGATCACACTGGACCTCTACTCCTACCCCCGCAGCAATGAGGCACCAGCCTCTGCCAGGATGGTGTCAGAGGACACTTGATAGACATAGGACTCCTGCCACTGCCCAGTAATGAGGCCACCTTCGGCGTGCTATCAGAAGAGATCGCACGGGGAGTAGTCATGAGGGACCCTGGACCCTCCCTGCCAGATGAAATCAGTGGAAGCTTAGTATACAACCCCCACCCCCAATCTGTAATAATATGAAAGATTTATGCCCTTGGGGGCCAACAAAGGCTAAGCAGAGATCCAGGATGCCTACACTCATCTGGCAGTTACACAGGGGCACCCACACCTTCCCCCGCCAGAGCAGTGCCAGAGGAAGGCATTCTACCTTGTTTCCTAGAACAACCATAGAAAATTGCCACAAATGTGATGGCTTTAAAAAAACAAACAAAAACAAAACAAAACAAAACAACAAACAAACAGGAATTTAGGGCACCTGAGTGGCACAGTTGGCTAAGCGTCTGACTCTTGGTTTCAGCTGAGGTCATGATCTCAGGGTCATGAGATCAAGCCCCATGTCTGGCTTCTCTCCCTACCCCTCTTGCTTGTGTGCTTTCTCTCTCATCTAAAATAAATAACGGGCACCTGGGTGGCTCAGTGGGTTAATCAGGTCATGATCCCAGGGTCCTGGGATCGAGGCCCGCATCGGGCTCTCTGCTCAGCAGGGAGCCTGCTTCTACCTCTCTCTCTGCCTGCCTCTCTGCCTACTTGTGATCTCTGCCTGTCAAATAAATAAATAAAATCCTTTAAGGAAAAAATAAAATAAATCTTAAATTAAAAATAAAAAAAAAACAGGGATTTATTCTCTCCCACTTCTAGGACCAGAAATGTGAAACCATGGAATATCACTCAGCCATAAAAAAAAGAATGAAATCTTGCCATTTGCAGGACCATGGATGGATCCAGAGAGTATAACGCTAAGCAAAACAAGTTAGAGGAAGACAATACCATATGATCTCTCTCCTACGTGGAATTTAAGAAACAAAACAAGTGAGCCAAGAAAAGAAAAAGAGAGAGACAATCAAGAAAAAGACTCTATAATTCACAGATGATTACTGGCAGGGAGGTAGGTGGGAGATGGGGAAACAGGTGATGGCACTAAGGAATACATTTGTTGTGATGAGCACTGGTGACGTGTGGAAGTGTCGAGTCACTATATTGTATACCTGAAAATATTATAAAACTGTTAACTACACTGGAGTTACAATTTTAAGAAATAGAACTTACTTATATATAACATAAGTTATATGTAACTTACATTACATATAACACCAGTGCCCCCTGCGCTCACTCTCTCTCTAAAATAAATAAATAAATCGTTAAAAAATTATTTAAATAATTTTAAAATTGGGGGAGAGATCTGTAGGAGAGGCTTTGCACCCCACCACTTATTAATTGCAGCCCCCAAAAGGAAGAGACTTACCTTGATTCCCAACAGGAAGTAGGCTATTCTACTCCTCCAGGAGGAAGAATCTCTCCTTGCCCAACAACAAGCTCAGCCAATAAGAAAATACCACAACTCAGCCAATAAGGAACTGTCATCACCCTAAACTCTCCATTTCCTCCAATAGCCTTTCATACAAAGCAGCCCCTCCCAACTTCCTCCTTTTCTCCATAAAGTAACATTCCTCCCCTGACTTGCCTATGCTTTTCCATTGCTTGAA